CACAAGTTTGGAGAGCCCAAATCACCAAGATTGCATCAAGAAGCATCCATGTGTGAAGCGCTACACTACCTACTAGTGTGAGTGTGAAAAACACAAGTTTGGAGAGCCCAAATCACCAAGATTGCATCAAGAAGCATCTATGAATGAATCGGAGTACTACCCCCTAGTGTATAAGTGAAAGAGGAGAGTTTGAGTAACCCATGTAGGAGAGGAGATGAAGTAAGAGAGGGTGGAGGAGAAGGGGAGAGAGATGAGGGAGATGGAGATGGAGAAGAAGGGGAGGAAGACAAAGAGAGTGAAAGTGAAGAGGAGGAAGGAGGAGATGAAGAGGGGAGAGAAGAGAAGGAAGAAGGAGGGAGTGAGGAGGAAGAAGGGGAAGAAGAAGGAGGAGAGGAAGAAGGAGAAGAGGAGGAAGAAGATCAAGAAGAAAAGTAAGAAGAAGAAGAAGAAGAAGAAGAAGGAGAAAAAGAAGAAGATGAAGGTGAAGAAGTCTCTTCCTTGCTCTCACCTTGTTGATTCCTTGATGTTGGTGTCCTGTTGATGAAGCTTCCTCTTCTTGCACAATCCCCTCTTGGCCATGCCTTCCTTCTTCTCCAAGCCCTTCTCTCCTCCTCCCTTGCTTTCTCTCAGGCTATGGCAAACTCCCCTAGCTATGGCTATGGAGTCCTCCCCTCTAGAAGGGCTAATGGGGCTCCTCTAGCTTCTCCTTCTCTCCTACACCCAGGAGGGATATGGCGGATCACCTCCCAAGTGTCTCTCCCACCATCACTATCTTCTAGAGTCCTCCCCACTACCTCCTAGTCTCCTCTAAGCTCTCCCACTAGCATGGGATCCTCCCCTCTCACTCCAAGTGCAAAGGTGCTCATGTGAGCTCACTTGGGCAGCATGGGCACTCCTCATGCAAATGTGAGAGTGGCGGACTGCATCCTCAGCTTATGTAGGCTGAAACCAGCAGTCCGGTCAGCCCATGAGCCTCCCCATGAGCCTTGAGGTGAAATGAGGTACCCCCAAGGCAAAATTCCCTCACTAGGCCTTCCTGGAGGTACTTGGACCTCATTTTGGCCAAGTACATGCAGTCCGGGTGGTTGGTACCAACTCGGACTGCCTCTTGGCCTACTTCGGCCTCTTTTCCAGTGCTCAAATGCTGCCCCCTTGGGTCCTAGTGCCCAAGGGGCATTTTTACTTGAAAGAAAAAGACCATGTGGGTCTTTTTCTCCATTTTTTCAAGTTTCGGCCTCTTTTGAGTAGGCCGGAGCATTTTTTCATATGGCGGCACATTTTCAGCCTTGGATCTGGCTGAGATCGAAGGCCAGCAATAATCCGAGCTACCCCCTAGTAGCCCTTGTTTCAATTTTGAGCCCCTAAGTCCAGTTTTTCAATTTTTGGTGCATCTGGCTCTCTTTTTGGGCCAAATGCACTATTTTGTCCTTTTCCCTCTTTTGTTTCTTTCCATTTTGGGCTATCACCTCATTCCGGAGCTAGCCGTTTTGAGCTGGCCCACAAAAAACGGCTAGTTCCTCTCTACCGTGAGATCTGATCTCAGATCCATGGCCCAAAAGAGAACCGGCCACTTCCTTTTTGCATTTTCTCTCATTTTCAACTTTTTAATTCAGATTTTATTGTGCAATCCGGATTGCCCTCCCTCATTCTAGGAGGGATGAGTTCACAGTTGAGACCTGCCAGTCCCTACTGTGTAGGTCCCAATAGGCCGACACTCTCTTCTCCACTCTTTTCTCCCCTTTTGTCTCATTCTCCCTCTTTTTTCTCTCATTTTTCTTTCTTTTTCTTTTATTTCTGTTGTGACAATTGTCAAACTGCTGTGCACCCTCTTTCTAGGCCCTAGGGCCTCATTCAAGGTCAGGTTCATGGCTGTTACTGAGCCGTTACATCTCGGATTCCAATAATGGCACCCCCATGCTCATAGGGGGCTCTATTTTGCTCCCGTTTGCCCAATTTTGAGCCCTTTTTGCTCTGATTTTCTAAGGGCAACCTTTTTCTCATATTGAGCCTCTCAAGGCTCTATTTTCTTATGCCTTGCTAGTCTGAGATATCCCGGACTGCTGGGCAGCCTTCCCAACATCCTTATTTCATTTTTCTTTCTCCCATGACTCTCACTAGTGGTGCTAATATTTTCCACCGTGCTTGCCAACGTTCTTCCCAAAATCCTTCCCAACATCCTTCCCAACATCCTTCCCAACATTCTGAACTTGCTCCCACTAGTGGTGCTAATATTTTCCACCGTCTAGATCCTCGATCTCGACGGTGCCGTTTGCTTGCACAATTATTCCTTGTGTTTATTCATGGTTCCCTTGGGACATCCCAAGTCCTCGCCACTTTCCTACACGCTAGCTCCATTTTTTTATCCCGGCGGCGGTCCCGCCGGCGCGTGTCCCATTTTTCGATTTTTATTACTTGGACCCATTTGGTTCACGACAACATTCCGGACGACGTTCCATGTTTATTTTTGGGGCCCTCTTACCCTTGGTGGTCCCATCATCTCTACATGTGTGCTGATTTTTCTAGGTTGTGAGATCTCATCTCACGGTTGCCATTTACCGTTTTTACTTGCCTCTTGCCGAAATTGCTCCTTTCTAGCCTTCCGAGCTTGCCGTAGCCCATTCCCCTTTGGCCTTGGCATCCCCATGCAGTCCGTAATTTCTCGGACTGCAGTCATGGCTGTTTTCTACACCCACAACCCCACAACTTGCCCCATGTTAAAAGAAAATGAAGCGTTAAATTTTTTAGTGCATCCGGGCTTAATATTGTCTCCGGATGCACTTAGAACATGTGTTTTCTCTCCCCCATGCAGTCCGTTGCAACTCGGACTGCAATGGGTGCCAATTCCTTAGCCCCAATGCCCCACAACTAGCCCTTACTAAAAAGAAAAAGAAACGGTCAATCCCCAAGTGCATCCGGCCTTGATTTTGGCTCCGGATGCACCTAAAACATGTGTTTCTCCTCATGCGTGTATTCCGTTTTATTCCGGTTGCAAGAGGCCTTGATTTTCTCTGCAAAAATCAAAGAAAATCAAAGTCCTTTATAACCGTCATATTCCAGAATGAATCTGGTCACGGATGAATCTCCCCAAGTGACCGTTTTTTACCGTTAAACCACCAGTACCTTCCCCAGTGTTGGGAAAATACGAGATGCTGGCCAGTACCCGAAGTTTTCGGGGTTCGGACACAGGGTCGACGATGTCCCAAAAATCGTATTTTTCTTTTGCCCGTGCACGAAAGAAAATTGAAAAAAAAAAAGGTCTTTGTACTGCAATGATGTCGGGCAGGGTAGCGGAGGAGGCCGTGCTCACAGTGTTGAATGCATCTTACAACAAAGACGGTTACATTCTGAACTTGTTGTTTTCTTTTTTTATTTCTCTTTTGTTTGTTATGTGTCCCCTGCCAACGAGGCAGGGCGGAATCCGTGATCTGCTCTAGCTGTGTTTCCTCAGATGATTATCAGGGTCATGTATCCAGCCGTTTTCAAGGCCGAATCCGTGTTTCCATTTTTTTTATTTTTTTTTATTTTTTATGGAATCTGACAATCAGAATCCGTGATCTGCTCGAGTTGTGTTCCCTCAGAGGATTGTAACCTTGATCACACTGACACTTACGAGAATGTATCTTGCCATTTTCACGGCCAAATTCCTGGTCCTGTCTTTTTTTTTTTTTTTTGAGTTTCTGGAATTTGACAACCTGGCCACAGGGCTGAGATGCCCTCACTGAGGGCACACTCACACTAACACTTCCGGGAATGTATAGAGTTGCAATCACGTCCACAACTTTGTTTATTTTTCTTGTTTTGTGAGTTTTCACGGCC